GCAGAGGTAGGAGACAGCCCGTGACCAAGGACGCCGCTGCGAGTGAAGGGCATGGGATGGGGGAGGGACAGTGTGAAGGCCCACAGGCGCCGAGCGACGGCCTCATGGGAATTCATGGGCAGGCTTTAAGGAGGCAGCAGTGACATGAACCCATACTCCCGACTTTGGCTTCACCTGGAAGATAGATTCGAGGAGGGCGGAGGGAACAGAAAAGATCAGATAAATGGCTCTTGCGTCCAGGCAAGAGAGGATGGTGGGTGACCAAGTGTGGAGAGGAGAGGGGAAGCAGCGGCTGGACCCAGAAAGCACTGGGGAAAGGAAATGGATGAGGACCTGCCACTGTCTCCGGTGTGGCGGCGACTTGACATGTGGGTGGAGCCACTTGCCAGGTTGGGGGAGAATGGAGAGTCAGTGGGGGTGCAGTTGGGGAGACATCAATCAGTCCCTTTTGGATGTGTGAAGTATGAGATCCAGATTGGACATTCAGAGGGAAGATGCCAGGTCAGCAGGTGGCTATTCAAGCCTGGAGTTCAGAGATGAGGGCTTGTCTGAGTGTTGACACTCAAGCAAGAACAGGGGACAAGATCACTGTCAGGAGACATTCCATGGTGTTTTGTCCTGCTGTCCCCAGGAAACTGAGGCAGGGGAAGGCAGACCCAACAAAACAGATGGAAGGAGGCAGCCCAGCACAGGCGCCCACCACCTCAACTCACCAGCCTGGTAGATGCGACTTTGGGATGGGGTCCCTGGCCGTCTCCCCAAGGTGGGTACGATCCGCAAGGCCCAGCTCCCTGGGTTCTGAAGAGGAAGGGGCACCACAGCTGATCGTTCCTGAGGCCCCAGGATGAGCAGAGAGACCCAGTCCTTATCAGGACTGGTTCTGCTCAGGTCTGCGCCCTGTCGCCGAGCCTGGATCTCAAAACCGCTGATTAGGGCTCCACGCTCCACATCCCAGGTCAGCACCGCTGCATCCCGGGCTCTCTGCAGCCTCCATGAGGAGATGGAGGGTCCTGGGGGTTCAGGAAGGGAGGTAGACTCGTGGGTCTAATGGGGAGAGGAAAGGGACTGTGGGCCTGGCTTACTAAGTCTTAGGGGACTTCTGGGCCCTTGGGAGAAAGTGCCTAGGACCTGGACTGCTGGACTGTGGGAGGAGTTTGGGGGCCTGAACTTCTGGGTCTGAGGCAGGAGGGGGACTGGGGTTCCAAACTGCTGATTTAGGGGTAGACCATTGGAGAGCCTGGGCTCCTGGATCTTGGGGAGGATGGGGCTCACCAATGAGGGTGATATGGTCTCCACCAGCACCCAGTGCCCCACTGCACAACACGGAGTAATTTCCAAGGTCCCAGTCCAGAGAGAAGTTGCCAATAAGGAGCCGCCGTCCATCTGGGCTGAGCTGCAGGCGACTCCCACCTCCTGGGGCCAGGGGGCGCCTTTCCCGTGCCCAGGATGCTCTGGAAGGGGGGGGACAGCCAGAGGCCTCCAGGACCACCTGGGCCTCCCCTGACCTTGTCTCCTCCACCACCGGAAGCAGCAGCACCTCCCGGGGGGCTTCTGTAGGTGGAAGAGACCCAGGGAAGAAAATCAGTTCCTTACCCAGGAGTCAGGAAAGAACCCTCCCCTTTGTGGGTTGAATAGCGTTGAAGCCCAGCCAGATAGAACTTGCCCTCTCTCACTCACTCAGTTTCCCTAAACAAGGACTTGAGTAGACAGTACCGGTGAGGTCCTGGACTGGGAAATGTTATTCTCAACCACTAGCTTTTCTGCACAAGTGGGGCGATGTCAGCCCTCTTCTTGGCAAGAGTTTATCTCCCTGCCTCCGCTTGATTCATTCATTCTTCCGTATAGTTAAAGTAAAAGGCATCCCCTTTCCTAGGATTAGGAGATCCCCTTTTTCGGGTCCTATCTAGAAGAGCTAAGAAACCCCTCCACTGCAAAAAAGTCCATTGCTCTCACCGGGGGTGACGGTGCAGCTGCGGGTGGTCACCAAGTGGCGGGCAAGGCAGGTGACCTGGGTGCCGCTGAGCCGGGGGTGGATGGGGACAGCTGCCAGGAGCACGGACGGCACCGGCCCCGCGCGGATGCCTTTGGGGAGACCCTGGAACTGCAGGGAGGCGGCGGGGACCCCACCCGGCCACGAACAGCGGAAGCGGAGGCTGCGGTCCCCGGGACCTCCCTCCACTGAGCACTGTGGGGAACCGGGGGGCAGATCTGTAGAGGGAGAGACCAGGGGGTTAGTCTCTCCCCATTCTCCTCGAGCCCCGCCCCCCTCCGCGTTTCATGCCATCCCGCCTTCGCCTGACCCCGCCCCTTTGATGTGGCTCCGCCTCCCGGTCCGTCGCTGGCCCCGCCCCGTGGCGCCTCCGCCCCTTTGGAGTCTCCCAAACCCGCCCCAGGTGGCCCCGCCCCTTGCGGGGCGTCCCCTACCCTTGCTGGCTCCATCCCCAGGTGGCCCCGCCTTTCCCGGAAGCGTCCCTCACTGGCCCCGCCCCGGGGGCGTTCCTCATTGGCCCCGCCCGGCAGGGGTCCCGCCCCTCCGCGCTCACCTGCCACGGTGAGGTTGAGCAGTGAGCGGCGGCGGCGGCCTGTGCGCGGGTTCGCGGCGAGACAGGCGTAGGCGCCGGCGTG